ACACACACACACACACACACACACACACACACACACACACGACACTACTACTGCACGCCACTCATCTCCGGAACAGGTGAGTTTGCTATAAGCACCCCATGCATTCTATGCATGTATGCATCATTTACTTGGGCGCATGGGGTTTGGGGTGGGGAGAACCTGCCTCAGAGGCAGAAACTTTAAATTAGGGAAGTAGGCAAATCAGGGAAAGACTGTTTGCTCCATAGTACTCAGCCGATGAGGGGCCAGGGGAGGGACTTTGAACTAGAGGGTATAATGCTGGTAAACATCCCTTGCACATGCTGTCCCATTCTGTCTTCTGAGGGTTGGGCCCAGCTTTGCAAAATTGACTAATAAAGCCTTGCTCTTGCCCTCCCCCCACCAACAACAAAAAACACTGACGTGGGCCCGAAAGAAGAAAGCAGCTATCAGACAATGCTCTACTGCTGTTCATAAGGCTGGTGCTGGTCCCTTCGCTCAGAAGTAGATCGCCAGGGCCGCCTTCCAAAGCTGCCCTAAGTCTGGATGCTCTGCTGAAACCTGCCCACCATAGGTGCCCTTGCTGGTATTTCTAATACCCACCACCTAGTTTCCAGAAGCACCCCAATCTGCAAGCCCTCCACGACCTGACAAACAGACCCATGAGAATATGCTACGTAATCACAACCTTGGCAACCCTATGGGGCAGTTCTGCTCTGCCCTGCAGGGTGGCTACGGGTCAAACAGACCCCGTGGCACAGAGGAACCACAATGAAACTCACACAGCCCCCAAGTTAGCAAAGCTCTCTAGTCTGTGACTTCCCAGAACGGCCGGGGCCTCGCGTGTGACATTTCTCACAAATGAACGTCAAAGACAGTCTGCATGTGCCGTCCTGCTCCCTCAGTGAAGTATAAACTCCCAGAGACTGGTTGTTACTTCTTTTTCTGTCCCTCATGCATTGGGCACCTGGTAGAACCTGTGGGCTTTCAGGGGTCCTACAGTTGGCTCCTGAAGTATTCCCTCTTTGCCATTTTCAACATGTATCGTTAGCCTCAAAGATAAAGTTGGCACACGCACACACACAGCACTACCACAGAAGAAAGCAGACAACAGATTAAAAAGATAAAGGTATTTTTGCTACTCGACACTTGAGAAAAGTATACCAAAGAGAGGTACGTGTGGGGACATGATTTTAGGCCCCCTACCCCCAATGGAACCGCACTGAAAAGCGTCCTGTGCTGCACGGCCCTTTTTCTGATGGGTGACTGGGCCCTCTCCACAACTCACCAGCCCCTCTTGGCACATCCCCACTCTTCCTCTGCTTTCCATGTGCTGGGAACCAGGCTTCCCATTCCTCCTCCTGGCCTAGAGAGTCCCTGAGCCATTAAGGACAGGGGGAGGCCATTCGGGGAGAGGGGGCAATGGTGCTCTGGCGGGACAGAGCAGGGAGGCATGAATCTGCGTGTCAACTACGAGACCTGGACCTCCCTAGATGCTTTCACGGAGCAGCCCCTTCAGCGCATCCTGACTCCCATCTCAGCCCCGTCTTACCTCCACGGAGATGCCCCGGGCGCTGGGCCCCATGGTGACAGTGCCCACCTTCACTAGGAAGTCACAGTACTGGTAACGGGTGCCCCGGGTCTCAATCTTGCTGGCTTTGGCACTCTGGAAAAAGCCCTTGAGCTTCAGCATGAGCACGTCAAAGTTGGTGTCGGCAATCAGGCAGGGGCCGTTCTCAAAGAGGGCGAAGCAGCTCAGAGGGCACTCGGAGTTGTGCATCACGTACATCAGCTTCCCAGACTGGCCTGTGAGGGCACACACACGGCTTGTCACCACCTGCTCCGCCGGCAAACCCCCAAAGAGAGTCAAAGGCACAGCACAGGGCCAGATGGCAGTCTCTGTGGGGGAATCGGGGAATCTCCGCCCCCCCCCCCAGCTTTCCCTGGGAGGGAGGAGGAGGAACAGCAGGCGAGGGAGGCAACATGTGCTAAGAGCAGCGGCCCAGCAGAACCGTGCGGGGCCCCGAGGGGACTGCAGCAGGGTTGTTAACAGGTTCGTCCTGAAGCCGAGGGCTAAGCTCACCGACAGAGGCTTAATTTTGAGAATGAATGCATATACACTTGACAGATATCCTTTGGTACACATTGTATATGCATGCCTCAATGAAAAAAAATGAAACCAAAGGAACAGCATTAAAGCAAGCCAAACAAAGCCGCTCTGTAGTCTTCTATCCACCCTACCTACCCTGACAGCCTGCTTCCTACGTACATAGAAAAGAGCCCCGGAAGCCACAAAGGGAACTACCTGAGCATGAGCTGGGCAAGGTCGGCCAGGGCCAGGCCGTGAGAAAGAAGTTGGAGCCACCATGCCTCAGGAAGTTTCTCCCGAAGGCAATGAGGAACCCTTTGGAAATCTGAAAAATGTCCAGATGTCTGGTGGCAGTTCTGCCCCAGGTGGGAAGAAACCCAGAGGCATACCTCATTGGGATGACCCAGAAGATGAGATCATGGACTCAGGTGATGCTGGAACGGGCTGAGCCCTTGGAGAGCATGTGACAGGGTGATGTGAGAAGATGTTACAAAGCCCAGCCTTTGTGCTGTGGGGAGAGGGGAGGTTCTTCTTCTTTGTTGTGGGGTATGTCTTTGCCCATGAGCCCAGAAGCACGTAAGCAGAGACGGAGTAGGACAAAGGCTGCAGGGAGCTCGCCAAGCGCTGCTGACCGCACACAATACCTTCTCCAAGCGCTTTCACCATGGATTCGGGCTTCTAGCCATCTAGACTAGGAGAACATACAGGCCCGTCAGTGGCTTCCCGAGTTTGCATTCCCCTGCTGACTTTCAAACCCACCCAGGCACACCCCTCTCCTCCAGGGGTACCGTGGAAGAAGAGACCTGGTAATCGCTTCCATTACGGTTACAAACTCCACACTCACTGCCAACGACTCAATGCGACTCACAGCGACCCTACAGGACAGGGTAGAACTGCCCCTGTGAGTTTCTGAGACTGTCACTGTTTACAGTAGAAAGCCCTGTCTTTCTCCTGAGGGGCGCCTTGTGGTTTTGAACTACCAATCTTGTGGATCGCAGCTCAACACACCACTATGCCACCAGGGCTCCATTCATTAAGATGACAGCCAAGAACACGTGACGGGACAGACCTACTGTGTAACGAATGGAGTCACTGTGGGTTGGAGCTGGCACCATGGCAACTAACACAAACAAACGCACCAGGGGTCTTGAGAAGCAGCCCTCTTCAGCAGAAACACAGGAGGGACGGGAAGAGCTAGTCTCAGCCCGGCTAGCCTCTAAGAAATGGGATTTTCTCCCTGGTTCCTGTAGGTTCGTGCAAGAAAGGGAGCTGAACTTAACGTGGGAAACGGACGGAGGCAGGAAAGGGAAGGCTAGCTCTCCTTCCATGACACACTGTGAGAGTTCATCCCAGGGATGGCAGTCCTTACACTTACCCCACCCGTGGGTTAGGACGTGAGCGACACACAAGTACTTAGCCCTGACCTCAGGAAGCTGTCAGCCTCAGTATAGATAAGCAAAACACGTCAACCACCACCACCGCCAAAGCCACTCCCACAAGATGACAAACTGTGGGAAAGACCAGAGATCTTTTGGAAGGAAAGATGTCAGGGAAGGAAGAAATCTATGGGGCGAGAGTCAGCAGGAACAACTGTCACAGAAAAAGCAAGCCCAGACTGGGAGGTGAAGAGAAGGCAGGAGCCAGCTACCCAGAGAAAAAAAGGAGGCTTCCGAGACGGGGGTTCATAAAGCAGCGATGGAAAACCAGTAGAAGACAGTCTGGGCAGGGGCCAGGGGCGCCTATTAACTTCCTTACCTAGCCCTACCCTAAACACAACAGGCTCTGCACTCCACAGACCCACCGCTCCACATCCCTCTCGACTCCTTTCACCACCTCCTTTTTCGCTTTTCTTTAATGGCAACTCCTGCACTTAATACCAATTATATGCTTAACAGACACTCCAAGGACAGGCCTGGTCTTGAAAAGCGTCTGAGAGTCAACTGAAGCTTTCTTTCGTGAAAGGCACCTCTGCGGGGCATTTGCACACTGATGATACCGGTTTATCATGATAAAGGCATTTGCACACCAGCCCATCTTTGTGAAGCAGCAGACCCGGGGAACCCCGGCTGCTCTTTCACAGAGGAGGAATGGGAAGTTGAAAAGCAAAGGGGATAAAAAGTGACTTATCTAAGTAGTCCTCAAAAGTGTGGGTCCCTGTCCAGCAGCATCTACAGCACCTGGAAACTTGTAATATATGCCACGTGTCAGGTCCCACCCCAAACTTACAACCTGAGGAAGAAATGCTGGCTTCCTAGAAGGGTGTGTGTTAACAAGCCCTCCGTCTGGGTGATGCTCATGGTGACCAGAGGGAGGACCACAGATCT